GCTGGTGTATATTTTTGTTCTGACCACTGACTGCTGAGATAAGGCTAACAAAATGATCAATCCCAAGTTACCCAAAGAATAAAATGCTCAATGATTTGAAAGCATGACAGGTTGTTGCGAAGCAGCCAGGACAGGAAGGGCCTGACTAAATAGCTCAGGTCCTATTGTGTGTTCAAATTATGTTTTATGTTCGTGGAAACTTATTTAGCAGACATAAGACAAAATTCATGACAGACACCTACAATTTTTCAGTGTACAACTCTTCACACTTAGTTGACAGAATCTGGTATTGTGTAGTTCCAGCACTGACTGAAGAACTGAACTGCTCCCCAATTCATTTGCATGTACAGTGAAAATGGCAGTAATTTCTTCTATCGATTTAGACAATGTCAAGACAGTGCCATTGGCAATGGAGAATCAATTGCTAGAGCAGCTCCTGGGAAAGAAAGAGGGGCTCTGAGGTCCCCAAATTCTCATTAATTTCATCCATTAATTGCTGAATCCACACTACAGCAGAAATAATTAGTACAGTACAAATCAGTTTGTTAATACAGCTGGTCAGAGTCTGTGATATGTATCAACATATTGGAAACAACTACTGACTGGTTAGTACTTTATAATTACACAGTGGACTTTTCTGTTAGGAAAAAAATCACATCCAGAAGATCTTTGCCATAGTAAAACCCAAGTAGACAAAGAAGATCCCAAAACATGGAATTGAAGGATGGTGGTTACATATGAAACTTTGACTTGGTGCTCATTTTTGACCTAGGAGGTGCTGTTCAGAACTTCCCTTCAGAACTTTCCTTTTTTTCATTCATTCACTGCAAGTGATGGATGCTGAAGGAGGCAGTAATCCATGGAGAAACAAAGGACTAAGTTCTGTGTTATCTCCACATTGTAAAACTGAACTCTATGTCTGGCTTTCACATGGACTGTCTGTACCAAGTTGGTTAAAACTGTTCATGTCTATAAAGAGGTCAAACAAAGGCAGCTTCATTTTTCTTACTCTTTAGTGGCTTATATTTAGTACTGTTCTTCCTGGTCTTCCAAACAGGAAAAAAAGATTCTAAAATCTTCATGTTGGGAAAAAAAGGTCACTTTCTCTCCTTGGTTGTAAATCTGATTATAGACAGATGTTAAGCAAATGATCAGCTTAAAGAAATTCTGTTGTTAACTTGATCCATAAATGAGGCAGTTTAAATTCTTTACTCCCCATTTTGTAATCCATTATTTCAGGGAGCTTTTTCTTGAATCTTTTACTTTAAACTAGAACTATTTTTAATTCCTGTCTTCTATGTGTTGCTACACTATCTTTTGGTTCAGCACTTGCATGTTTCTGTTGTTTTACTTCTTTATCAACCATTTAACAGTAGATGAAGCCTCTAAGCAAAGGACCAATATTTTCCACAACTCCCTCCTATTTCCTCTAAAACTTAGCAGGTCTAATTGACAGGAATAGTAAGCTTAAATATTCTGTGCGTTGCAGAATGGTTAAGACAGACCATGGGGGCTAGAAATGCAAGAATGCATGGGAAGACCTTCCTTTAGACTGAAATAACATTTTCAATTTCTTGTGATCCCCAAGACTGCATTAAGTGGCTTTAGAGTGTAGTGTTTGCTCTGGTCTCTACCCATGCTGACACTCTCTGCTCTCACCTCATCTTTGCAGACTTTGTAAACGTAGGAGTCTTTCCTGTCAGAGTGATTAAAGAAGTGCAAGACGTCCCAGACTCTTGATACAGCTCCTTCCTCTGGCTGGGCTAATTGACGGAGCAGTAATTGACTGAGCAGCTCTACAAAGGCAGACATGAAGTCTAGCAAACTGTCTCTTCTGCCTTATGTTGCCTAAGCAGAGGCAGTGAGATCTCAAGTCACTTTCTCTACCCCATACTCACTGTAACTAAAATGAGCCTGGGCATGACATGTTCATCTCTCGGCAATTCTGAGAAGGGCTGGGTTACACCACTACTCACTGGAGAGTGGTCTATTAGTCCTTCAGGCTGCAGCTGCCACAGTCACACAGTGGACATCAGCCACACCTTATCAACATGTACTGGCCTATTTTGCTGCAATCATGCTGCAAAACAGGTGATTTCCCAGCTCTTGACAGTGATACTTCATATTGAATTCCTTCTTTCCTTGTAGCAAATTCTACAAGGTGGTAGCACTTTCACACTTGTGGCAACGTATCTCTGTGAAGTTCAAAACATGTCTCAAACTCGCTATACAAAGGTGACATGCCACCTCAGCTGCTGTAAACTTCATCAGAGATGCCAGGCAACTGTATTGGAGGCATGTCACAGGGTGCTAGAGGTCACACAATTCTGCAATCCTTCCCTTCTTTTTATGCTACAACCAATTTCCTACTCAGTCATTTCCCTTTCACACCTATGTTATGAAACGTGTCTCCTCCAAAGACAGGCTAAAAGTGAGCTGGGGTTGTTGAGCCTGAAGAAGAGAAGGCTCTGGGGAACCTTCTATTACAGCAGCCTTCTATTACCTAAAAGAGACGTGAAAGAGACCTGGAGAGGGACTTCTCACAAAGACAGGAAAAAGGGGAATGGCTTTAACTGAAATAGGACAGGTTTACATGAGATATTAGGAAGAAATTCTTTGCTGTGAGGTAGTCAGACCATGGAACAGGTTGCCCAGAGAAGTTGTGAATGTCCCATCCTTGGATATATTCATGGTCAGGCTGTATGGTGCTTTGAGCAACCTGGTCTAGCACAAGGTGTCCTTGTCCATGCCAGGGGGTTTGCAACTAAATGATCTTAAATATCTGTTCCAACCCAAGCCATTCTATGAAATAGGTAACTAAGATGGAGTGCTTCTATCTTACATTAAAGATTACTGATATATACTTGGATGGCCTACTAGAAGGGGGATATATCTGATATTACATCTGCAGAGACAGGAAAACCACATATATGAATGAGTGTAATCCATTCGTGATTTTATGGACACGAAGTTCTCTAGAGAGCATCTCTGAGTGCTGAATTTTACATTTACATTGCTGAGTTAGCTGAAATATGCGTAATATCACCAGTAGGCACTGTGCTCCCTATTGACTGTGGGCAGAGGAGGGCTGTTGTGCATTGTTTATTTCAGCTAGGATGTGAGCTGGCGTGCACCCATGAAATGTTGTACAGCTATCTTTTCTTTACAGGGTATGTGAATAAATGATGTGTGGAGCTTTCAGCTCTTGCTCACTGGAAAACTCAGTTCTTTTTCCCGAATACAGAAATAGAGGTGCATTAGACATGCTTATATTTCTTAATGTGCCTGTGGGAGAAATAATCCGGTACAGCTATCTTCCTGTGCCCCTCAGATTCATAAGTAATCTGGCTCTTTGGGGCTAGCAAAGTGTAGAGCTCAGCTCACAATCAGGTCTCCAGTGTTTTACTATATATTTATGGCTGTTTTTCCCAGCTTCTGACAGTGATACTTCATGCTGAATTCTTTCTCTCATGTTTATGCATTTATGTAGTAGTAGATGTTTACTTCTGGTGATTTATGAGGCAATATTACAGCGACCGAGCACAATTAATGTGTTTTATAAGTGGGATTATTTCAATCCCACTTAAAAAAAGATTTTGTGTCAAGACTTAATTCTAAACCACACCTTTAAACTCCTTGCACATTCACACAAAATAACCACAAATCAAATGATTGAAGGAGGCTGAAGAGCAGTGGCAAGGCCTACATTAGCATATGTGTCTTTTGCTCTTTGGGGCTGGCAGCTGAAGTGGAAAGGGTGCTCAGGGGGGTCAGCTTTGCTGAGGGGAATTTCTCCAGCTACTCAGCAACCCAGCTTCTTGCATTGTTCACAGGAGTTTCAACTAGTAAGAACTACAAAGGCTCTGTAGAGCTTATGCTGTGTCTTGCATTGAAATGCAACAAGATTGTTTGAGCAACAACGATGAAGATTTAGGGATCTTAAGGCCCTCTAGGCTCTGATATAAATTAACACTGATTTTAAAAAGAGGGAAGGAAAGAGACATTGACTCTTACTGTTTTCTTTCCTCCACTCCTCAAGACTTTAAACTTGTGTGTAACCAATAACAGAAACTTATATAAGACCATTATACTTCTATTTCCATAACTGTGGTGACCTAAACTTCTAATTAACAAGTCATTTAAAAGAAAGTCTTTGAAGATCATTTATGGACTCAGACATGAAAAAAATCTAATCTGGACAAAGATGCAAAGGAAGTTCGGAGTGCAAAATGATCCTGTTCTGTTCCCTTATTAAAGTCAAGGACATTTTCTCATGGCCAAGCAATGCTCCTATTAACTGCCTAAAACTCAAATTATATAATATTTATAGTGAACATTTACAAAAATAATTAAGGAGATGAAAAAAATGAAGGAAATATTCTAAAATAAAATTTGGAAAATGCAATTTAACAAACAAATAGGGAAAAGTTAATTAATTAATAATTAAAAGTAAATGAATTAATAATTAAAAGTGAACAACCCACAAGAGAGGAAGAAGTCTACATCTTCTCTGCATGTTGTCCTTTTGGACAATTATTTTCCCTATTTCATAATCAAACAACTGTATTAGACTTCTGCTCCAGCTCTATACACAAAAATACATGTATGTAATGATGAAATAAGTGATGGTTAGCATTTCGAAAGATTGTATAAGCAATATTTCAGCAAATTGAGTTCCAAAGATATCCTACAAATTGTATTCACATAATGGAATTTTACAGCCTATATTTTACACATACTTTTAGAAGAACTTGACCCCACATAATTTAATTGCAGTTCAAATACTTCTTCAAAGTTAATTCACTGACCATCAAGCTACAGAATTCTTGCAAAATATTCAAATTTTCTAATTTCTCTAAATAGTTGTGAGTTTTTATTAAATACTTGTGGCTTTTACTGTTACCAAAGACTTTGCTAGTTAAAGGTTAGTATGTCACAGTCCATATACAATCCATCAGACATCACTGTTCATAGTGACAATTATAAAAAATGGGACTCACCTATAAAGTAGGACAGCAGTATTGCCAGCAGCACTGAGACCCCTACAGCACAGAGTGCAGTACATTTCCAGCTACAGTACTTTGAAGACTTCTTGAATTTAAAAGCACTTCTGGATAGAGTGTTCCTAGGTAGTGGCCGAGCAGGAGGGGAATAAACAGAGCCGGATGCCATTGTGTACCCTGGCGTTGCAGTACTGAACAGTGGTGTGGTCCCTGTTCCTGTTTTGAATAGGAAATGCCTGTGAAAGAAAGAGCATATGGTAAAGTATAAAAGTAAATAAAGCTGGAGCGCAGGCAATCATAACTCTTGTTTGATGCCGCCTATTTTTCAAATAGCTAACAACATCCCATCTAAAAAGGGTCATAGAAACAATAACTTGTCATGACACTCACACATAAAGAGACACTTTCCCTTTAAGTAAAGACCAAAGCCCCCCAAACATTAATAATACACTGGTATCCAGACAGTAAACAGAACTACCCAAAATACAGTGTAGCAGGGAGGAAGTCTCTCACAGTTTATCCAACAAGTAGGGACAGGCTTTCTGCTGCTGTTTATTTGTGTTGGCTTCTGCAACAGACTACAGGGAACTCCATTAAAAAGTCAATAATGAGCAATGTGACTGCAGCCCACACTACTTATCACAGCTTTCCTAGGTTAAGTACAAGGAAAACAGTAATCTCTCAGTTACAAACTTTCGGCAAGTTTTCCACAAATAGTCAGTTAAAAATATTTTTGAGTGTGTCCTAAGTACTCAGTTAACTAATTCACATCAACGTGCACATAATCCTACCATAAAAAGATCTGATTTTGGATACAAGCAGCTAGTTACAGCCCAGGAGAAGTACTCTAAAGAAATATATTTACTAAGTGTTCAAGAAGACCAAAAACCAGCAACAGATATGAAAAGCAAAGTCAAAGTTAAGACACACTGTGAGTTACCAGTTTATTTTTTCAATTAAAATCTCCAAAGGAAACATTACTCTCTGAGCTTCCATATGACAGAATCCCTTAATTTCAGTTCATGCAATCATAATTACTTTGAACGAGCCTCTAAAAATGGCACATTCCACCTGGAGTTTTTCTCCAGATGCACACAGGCAAGTCAATGAACAACAAAAACCTGGTCCAAAGAAAGGTCTTGGCACCAGAGGTTTCCCATCAATTTGTTATGTTGGCAACTCTGTAGCATATGGCTTGCCCTCACATAATTAAACCGAGGAAAATGAATACATTATATCTAAAAATGGTAAGAAAGCATACTGTGGAGACTTTGAACTTACCAACCCACAGCTAAACAGAACCAGAAAGCTGCTTGGGTTTTGTCATAGTTAAGAGACGCTCATGAACTGCTGATAACCATGTCCTCCTGAAGTTAAGTGCATGCCTACACTGTATTTGCCTCCTCCCTGTCACTTATACAGCAAGGCTCAGAGGATCCAGCACCAACTGAGCCAGCCGTGCAGGGAAAAGCCTTTCTAGTTACACCACGTGGCAGTGTGAGCTGCTTCTTAGCTGATGGGACTTTGATTCTCTGGGGCACATGCTCAGCTTCTTGCATAGTAATGGACCAATTTACATTGTAGAGACACCAGAAATTAATTTGCCCCACTGCAGCCTGAGAAACATACCAGCAGTTGATAAACAAGATTTGTTGTTTACAGGTGATTTTGCTATGGGAGGTTAATGGATGAATTAGAACATCTTGGCATAGACCCTTTACTTGAAAATATTTGCACTACAAACGTGATTCCGTGAAATATTTTACATAGGTTACCTCATTCTGAACAGTATTAAACTTGATGGCAGCAACAACAGAAGGTTATGTACTAAATCTACTGGTGCACAACAGCACACCCCAAATTTGTTTTAGCTTCTGAGCTCAGAGTATAATCAATAATCTCAAAAGACAAAGCCCTGGTAGCTTAAATCCTGTCTAAGAAGGTACTTCATTACAAGTTGTGACATTTTCAATGTAGCAAACACCAAAATAATAACTAGCCCTATGTAAAAATGTTTACAACAGCATTACTTTGATTGCACAGATTCACAGAATCATGTAAATTCATTAAGTCCTGGTAAGTGCCTTATCCACTTGACCTTTATCGGTCTTTCATTCCTGGCTACATGTAGTAAATGCTATGTCCAGGTATATTTCACAAACAGATCCCAAAAAAACCACCAAACACAAAGGTAGCTGTTTCCCTTTCCATGTGCAATGTGTACTGTTTTGGGGAGCAGAAGGAAAGCCATACAGTAGATACAACAATACTCTTCATATACATCAGCTTCCTGTTAAAAATAAGAAGCTTCCTGACCAGCCTGCAATTTTCACATCCTCCCTCTCCTGCTGTTAGACTCAACATACTAAAAATGGGAATTGGCATTATATGAGCACTTGACTAGAACTCCAATATACTTTAAGTTTTAAGAAAAGAGTGCAATAAAACAGTCTGCCACTGCTATTTTCCTTTTTTTATTTTCTCTGGGAAAGTGAGAATTGATGTTGGCTTTGGTAGACCACAGACTACTAGAGACTAATCCAATACTCTCAGAGCCTTTGAGGAGTTAATCCCATGGATAAACTTGAGAGATGACAGGGATGGTGTGAACTGTCGTAACTGACAGTCCACCTCAGGCATCAAGGTAATGAAAAGAAAATTGTAACTTTTATATGTGAATCTTAGAAAAATAGGTTGGAAATGACCCTTAAGATCATTGAGTCCAACCATTAACTCAGCACTGCCAAGTCCACCATTAAGCCATGTTCCTAAATGTCACATCAACACATTTTGTAAATACTTGGAGGGATTATGACTCAACCACTTCCCTGGGCAGAGTATTCTGATGCTTGACAACCCTTTCAAGGAACAAGTTTTACCTAATATCCAATCTAAACCTCCCCTAGGTGCAACTTAAAGCCATTTCTTCTTGTCCTGTGGCTTGTTACTTGTGAGAGCAACCCCCACCTGGCTACAACCTCCTTTCAGGTGGTTACTGAAAGTGGTAAGACACCCACCCCACCCCCCCCCAAAGATAAGGATATCTCCAGGCTAAACAACTTCAGCTCCCTCAGCTGCTCCTCATAAGGCTTGTGCTCCAGACCTTTCACCAGCTTCGCTGCCCTTCTCTGGACCCACTCCAGCACTTCAGTGTCCTTCCTGAACAGGAACCCAAAACTGGAGAGCAGGACTCTGTTGCTTTACTGGGAATGGCAAAAAGCACAACACGGACTCTCTTGTGCGTTGAACAGGAGAGCAAGGTTTATTACCTCAGATCTTCTTTTATAGACCAATATGTGAAAGTCCAGAAAGGTAAAACTCTTATTGGTTAGTAAACTAACACATCACCATCATTGGTCAGTGGGGTTCACCACCCCTCGACCTTCTCTTGCAAGAAAACAAGAAACTGACCAACAGCACCTGCAAGGCTGTCTTCTATCTCTGAGGATTGTTTTAATTCCTCCTTATGATTTCCCAGGCCACTTTCTCAGGTGAGACAGAAATTTATGAGGCCTGCTTTTCCACAGGCACTGTGCTCCCTGCTTTTGCTCATATTTAACTATGTTAATATTAACATATTAACACAGGACTCAAGGTGTGGCCTCATCAGTGCTGAGTACAGGTGGAAGATTCTTTCCTGGTCTTGCTGCCACGCTATTTTTGATACAGGCCAGGAAGCCACTGGCCATCTTGGCCAGCTGGGCACACTGCTGAATCATGATCAGCTGCTGTTAACCAGCACTTCCAGGGCTTTTCTGCAAGGCAGTTTTCCAGCCACTCTTCCCCCCTCCCAGTAGCGCTGCAGGAGGTTTTTGTGACAGAAGTGCAGAACCCAGCACTTGGCCTTATTTGACCTTATAGAGTAGGCTTTGGCCCATTGATCCAGCCTGTCCAGATCCCTCTGTGGAACCTTTTGCCCTCCAGCAGATCAACACTCCCATCCAGCTTGGTGTCTCTGTGAACTTGCTGAGAGTGCACTCAATCTCCCCAGTAATTGACTGAAGATTGATAAAGATTGTTGAGAACAGACAAAGCATCATCAGCTGGGGAAGATAGATGATTATTCTACTCTGCACTGCTGGGGCCTTGCCTTCAATACTGTGTACAGTTTTGGGCACCACAATATAAGAAGGTTATAAAGCTATAAGAGAGTGTCCAAAGAAGGGCCCGTGAGGATGTTAAAGGGCTTTGAGAGGAAGGTGTATGAGGAGCAACTGAGGCCACTTGGCCTGTTCAGCCTGGAAAAGGGGTGACTGAGGGGAAACCTCATCACAGTCTACAGTTTCCTCGTGAGTTGAAGAGGAGGGTCAGGCACTGATCTCTTCTCTGTGGTGCTCAGTGACAGGACCCAAGGGACTGGCCTGATGCAGTGTCAGAGGAGGTTTAGGCTGGGTATTAGAAAAAATCCTTCACCCAGAGGGTGGTTGGACACAGGAACAGGCTCCCCAGGGAAGAGGTCATACCACCAAACGTGACAGTCCAGAAAGTGTTCAGACAACAATTTTGGGCACATGGTATGACTCTTGGGCTTGTCCTGTGCAGGGCCAGGAATTGAACTCGATTATCTTCGTGGGTCCCTTCCAACTCAGCTTATTCTGTGATTCTGTGAAATTAAACAGGACTGGTCCCAATACTTAGTCATTGGGAAAACCACTTGTGACTGGCCACCAGCTGGATCTAACTCCACTCACTACCCTCTGGACCTGGCCATTCATTCACTTTTCTACCCAGTAAAGAGCGCACCTTTCCATGGCATGATCAGCCAGTTACACAGCATGCTGTAGGAATTCAGGAATGTGTTGTCTTAGGCAGCACACAGTACAGCTCCTCACTTTAAGCTATTCTCCTTTACTTTGAATTCCCATGAATACAATGCCAGAGTGGTTGCACTGTCTGGCTGAACGCTGAGGGGAAAAAAAATGACAGAAAAGTCAGTCTAGCATCTTCACGTGGGTTAAGAAAATTTGTTTAGATCTCTCTATTTCTAATGAGTGGAGTTCCTAACAAAGTTGTCAGAGACTCTCCTGCTACGTTAACTCCCAGTGCTAAGTATTTAAAGTGTAATGCTATCAGACTTGCACATCTTGTCTGCCTCACTGAGCCATGCCAAACTGTTCCTATGAGACTCTTAGAAGGATATGGTAACTGACAACAAATCCAGGCTGCTTCCAGATAATGCTGAAATTCTTATGCTCTTGAAATATAAGCCATTCACAAATGATTTTAATTATCTATA